CTCCTAAACCGTTGAATGTACGGGAAAATTGTATAAGACCTTTCTTATAGAGGACGACGAGATCTACAATTTCCATGTAAAAATTTTTCGTTAGCGTCAATAGTTAACGAGTAATTTGCAAAAAACTGTTTTTTCGTTTTTCGTAAATTACTCGTTAAGTATTAATGCTAGCGAAAAGTTTTTACATGGAAATTGTAGATCTCGTCGTCCTCTATAAGAAAGGTCTTATACAATTTTCCCGTAGATTCAACGGTTTAGGAGTAATTAAGGAAAAATGAAATTTTTTGTCAAAAGTTAGCCGTTTCGACCGCTGGGATGGTCGGATTTTGTCAACATCAATAAAATGCCATATAATCATATGTAACTCATTAAATATCGAAATTAGAAGAAAAGTGCACTATTTTTTATTAAAAATTTTCGATATTTTGACAAAAAAGAATTTTTTTATTTTTCCGAGATTTTTCCAAGGGGTACTGGGATTGACTATATAGCCAATACATCCTTAATGACTTTTTATTCTTGTAAGTGTTCTTATACTTTTGGACGGTAGTGTACGCGTATAACACGAGGAGGGAATCAGATCCGGGATGAATTTTTACGAGCTTCGAAAGATGTCTCATGAAAAAAAGGAAACCGCGTAAAAAGTAACTGTAAACCCGGCTTCGTTCAGGCCGATCTTCCTGATCAATTAAATCGCGGACTTTCGAGGCGTTTTTATCGTTAGTTCCAGCGGGAGAGCGTAAATTCAACGGCCCCGTCGCTTATTCTAATTATCGTTCACGGGTAATCAACTCCGCGGAAGTATCGCGCGGCATTGTTCGATAGAGTCGCTTCGAAAGTGAACGAGATCTTCTACGCAGTTTCGAGCGTCGATTTCAAATGAAATCTTCTTAACAGAACTTTATACATTAAGAAAAAATTCCTTCAGTTTAACGACTGTAACTTGTCGTTAATAATGATAGCTGCAATTAATTATTACTTAGCCTACTTGTATTTTCATGTATGTGAACAGATTAGATTTTAATTCTTGTAATTTGTATAATGAACGATTCAGTAGAATTTATTATTGGTAAAAATACTTGATATCTCAAAAGTTTGTAGCTGTTCTTCAAAATAGATGAGCGAATCTTTGACGAGAAAGTACATAAGTAATTAAGATACCTAGATGTTAATCTATTATGAAAATCTGGAGAGAGTAATTGAGATATTGGATGGGGAGAAATAGCAGAAAAAAATATGGCAAGAGATAAAGTCCAAAATGTATGAGAGAGAGAGAGGTCTGGATCAAGTGAAGGGCAGAGAGAAGGGAAGGTAAAATCGGCTGATATACGAAATAAGAAGAAAATCAGTCTGAAAAAAAGTGAGGGAGAGAGATTAAGAGTCACAAGAGTAAAATTGCACGTAGAGTGCAAGCTTGAGGGAATGAACTTACAAATTAAGGTAGAATAAGATAAAGTAAGATTGTAGTCCAAACGAAAATCAATTAATAAATATACAGTACACAGCAAAACTGAACCAACAACTTTTATGAATGACTTTCAAAAATCGAATGAAGCGATCTGAATTTTTTTTAAGCACTTATGTAGATTATTTTACTACATTATATCTAAATAAGATTTGGAGAAAATTGAGATTAATAGACATTGTAAGGAAAAAAATGAAAAATCGCTCTCCCAAATTTTTCTATCTGAACTTGTAAGTGAAATGCATTTTAAACATTTATATGAGATAATTATATACTGGAAACGTATGTATGTCATGCATTAAAAGACAAAACTGAACCATACACATTGTACGTATATTTGAAAATCTGTAATAGTAGCAAGCGCTTACCTTGGAAACGCTAGCCTGAGGTCTGCTCTGAGCTTGTTGAGGAGCTCACTGACCGAGGTGAATTGTCTCAAGGTCATCTCGCCGCTTCCGGAAGCGTAACCGGAACTCGAACTGGTTGTCGACGGCAAAGTTCCCTGCGACTCTTGGACACTTCCTAATGGACGTCTTCCCCATCGTCTCAGAGCGATAGCGTAGTCCTCGGCGTTGTAGGTAGGCGGTCTTAATCGTTCCTAAGGAAAAACGAAATCGACACGGTGAACACATAATTAAGTATCCGCTTGTTCCAATATCGAGTAACACTCATGGTAATCATACGAACTCGAAACCATCATGTTAAATTCTAACTCGCAGCTATTTTACAACCATCAGTAAGAACATTTCAAATGAAAACATGTACAAATGAAATTGAACGTTTAATAGTTAAACGCGATAAGTCGAATCCGAGTTTACGATGATTGAACTATTATTGCACGAGACTGAAAATACTTTTGACACGGCGTTTTACTTCCCTGAAACAAATCAGGAAACCACGCGTTGTGCGAATGAAACATTCATGCGAGGGAGTGGAAGCTGTAGTGGAGTTCATTTCACGGCGCTACCAATCATAAATCGACCGAATCATAGTGATTATCGCCTGTCGGCCTACAGGTTACGAAGCAGGCAACGGTGCTTAGGGGATTGATTCCACGTTGAAATGCGGCTCGATAGCGGAAATTAATTCACCGCTTCGAACGTTCAAACTGTACAATAGATGTATATTGTGGAGGATTGTAACTCGTTGCGTATCATACTTGTTTCACGGCTAACTCACAACGTTCCACTAGTAACCAGCGTAAAATCGACCGCTCAAGAACGGCGGACTCGCGTTGCATCGAAGGTCGCGTTCTAACACTCGCTTTCTAAACGATGATTCGAGCAAACCGCGAGCATTTGATATTAAATGAAAGCGTCTGGTCCACTCGACTGTGGTCTGCCGCCGCCGGTTAAGATTGTATGAACCTTTACATAAAAACAATAACAAAACATTGAAATTTTAACAGTTACT